GGACACAATTCAATCATTTAGTTCATTTTACAGAAACAATGAGCACCAAAGTATAATTCATTCAGTTTTACTGGTATGGTAAACAAGAGAGACGGGAAAAAAGTAATGACTCACTATCTTTGAAGCGGTCATAAATATGAATATGTGTCAATTGCTCAATTGTTTATATTTCTTTAGTATGTAGAGTTTTGTGTGCGATTGGTTTCACATTATGTGCTCCCTTGCATATTTCACTCTTACTGAGCCCCCTACTGATGACATTTGTGAAATACAAACATTGAACCCTGCAAAAGATCATCTGACACTGAAATCAACCTGCTCTCACAATCAGTAAAACAATGTGTTACTTTGAAGTGTTGTTTGAGCTGATAAAAGTGCTTGTTCGCACAAAGCACTCTAGATTGTATCTCATTTTAATCAGAATCATCATCATGGCTTTTGTTTTAGCCTCTTCACACCCTGTATGTTTTAGACGATAGATTTTAAGATTTTAATGACTACTTTTAATACCTTACGTGCTGGTGCGTGCTTTGAGATCCTCGGGCAAAGGTCTTTTGTTTGTTCCAGAGGCCCAGCTGAAAACTAAAGGGGACAGAGGGTTTGCAGTCAGGCTCTGGAACAGTCGGCTGAGTCAGTGATTACCTTTAAGTCCCTACTTAAAACATGCTTTTACATGATTTTACTTACTCTTTCTAGCCTAGTGTAGTCTTTTATTTCCTTTAAAAAAACATTTTCTTATTATTGCCTTTTTGTTTTTTATACACTGAAATACAAACTGTTTTTTTTATGTTTTCTTATAAAAACTTATGATTGTATAACTTGTTTGGTTTTTTTGCTGCCTTTGTAAAGCACTTTGTAACATGGACGCGCTCTATAAATAAAGATTATTATTGTTTTAAATGTTTTACTGATTCTCTTCTCTCATTTATAGGAAGTTAGCTTATTCCCAAAACACATTAACTGATTAAGTTTTTGAGGTCAGGGGTTCTATAACCAAAAGAGGATATCATTTCAAATGTTTTATTATTATTTATTTATATCATTATAGTGAAATTGTGCAATCATCCTTCTCTCCATAATAATGAATACTAAAATGCTATATAATCTTCTATGTTATTAATACACTAAATCTACAGTACTGAACATCACATGTGGTTTCACTGACAGAGATAAGTGGAAATTTCCATCAGGCTGGGCAAAGTCTGCCCCGCTTTGTCCATGCTACTGTTTTGTCCTTGATGCATTTTTTCTCTTTCAGTATCCCCCTCCCTTACATGTTCCCTTGACGCTCTCATTAACTTTTTTCTTTGACTACACTGACCATTCTGATGTACTGTACCCTTTCCACATCTGTGCTAATAAACCTTGCTTAAGAAAATCATCATCAAGTGCTGTATAAGTACACTGTTCACTGTCAGCTCAACCACAAGGGCCAGGTAGATTAGTTCAGACCAGCTCAGAGTAGAACTGCTGCCAGTTGAATTGGTTCAGGCATCTGACTGAGATGCCCGCTGGATGCCTCCCTGTGGAGGTCCTACAGACATGTGGCAGATTAAAATATGCCAGGAGGGATTACATATACCATCTGGCCTGGGAACAAGTTGGGATGTCCCTGAAGGAGCTGGAAGATGGCGTCTTGCTCAGCCTGCTACCACCCTGACCTGGCCTGTAATAGACAGGAAATGGATGGATGGATAGACCCTTTAGGGGCAGAGTGATTTCTCATGATCACCTGGAGAGAAATGGAAGGCTACATGGATTAAAGTACACTGTTAACTCCATATTATCTATAGTCCTGAACCAGGCTGATCTGTGATCAGGGAAACTCTAGTACTGGGCTCTGCACATTTGATAGAAATGACATCCATGACATCCTGGACAAATACAAGGCCACGTAATGTCATACTTAGTCACCTCATTGTGACTGATTGTGAATTTGAAAAAATGCTCTCAACAAGCTGCTTTAAAATCGGCCACTGATCAATATATGTCTTTAACAGAGGGAAAGTGCTGAATCAATTAATCAGTTACAGAACAAACAAAATTTGTTAGAAGCCTCCAGGCAAACATAACGTAATATAAAGTGAGCTACTGTGCAGTCTGCAACAATTACAAGGATTTTGACCCTAGTCTACTCCTAGGCAAACTGTGGCCTGTATCTGGCCTGATTACATCAGTGTTTCTCATGGACCCACCAGGACTCTTCCCCTGTCTCACATGATTTGAACCAGAGCGCACAAAACTTAACTACAGTCAAAGTTAAACTCTTTGGTTTGATAGTTGTCAATCTCTGGTTAGGAATGTTTTGTACCTACTGATTATTTTGTAATATGCGCTTCTGTATTTACAGAATAACTCTAAACTGATTGTTTAGATAGGCTTGTCGTGAGAGTTACACAATGATTTTTTTTTTTTAAATCAATCAAATTTAGGAAAAGAACAGAGAATTCCAAACGAGCAAGCCACCAGAGGATGGACTTCAGATTTAATCAGTTTCAAGATAGAGTCTGGACCTGAGTGATCACAAAATAGCTGGGGGTTGTGAAGTGGATTTAAACTCTAAGCTATTTTATTGAGTTGCAGGTTTTACTGTGAAGTTTGGGAAAACTAAAGTAGAAGGTATGTTTCAGTAAAAACTAATATCCCGTCTTTATTCAGACGAAGGAGCCTCTGTGTTATAACCCCATATATTAAGTAAGGCCGCAATTAAGAACCCCCCGATTACATTGGTGGCCGCGGTGGAATGGCCTGTTCAAACCGACTATTCTGCAGTTAAACTAGAAATTGCAGGAGGCATTTAGACAAAGACATTTTCTGGACTGTTTCCAAGTATACCTCTGCTCCAGGTGAGAGTTTGGAAGTGTATGGAGTGTGCTATAGAATATTCTTAGGGGTATTGATATTGATGGAACAGGGAAAGGTAAGACAGGTCTAGCTTGGAGTCATCAGCTGACTCCACATGTTTTCACTGACCTTCCAGCTCTGTTTTTTTCTCACATGTAACTGTCCTTGTTAGGGAGACAACAGTTAGCCTGATAAGGTAGAGACAGTAACTCAGGCGTCAGGCTAGTAGATATCGGTGCTCTCTGGGAATCTGGCAAGGTTGAATCTAACAACAATGTTTACAAGGGCTTATGAGAGAAACATAAAAGGGACCGAAAGATGTTATCCTTCAAATTTGGTGTTGGCATTTGATGTGTATCTCCACGGCCGGGCTCAATAAACTATGTTATGTTCAGTCTTCATCACTCTCAAAACTTCTTCACAGCTGAACCTGGCTCACAATCATTTTTCAACACAGTGGAAATAAAAAAGATAGTTCAAGAAGCATTCCCACGCTGCGGTGATATAGCTCAGAAAGAAAAGAAATTCCTTGCTGGGCTTGACCCGGCTTTGAGAGCACGGGGCTACTGATTTGGAAGAGGACGAACGTACTGAAGGATGGCAATGAGACAACTGGCAGGGTAAAATGACCAACTGTGATGCAGTCACTGGAGTGATATATTGAAAGATTTTAATTGAAAACCTCTTCACCGGGAGGGGAGGTCAGTGTCAGTGTGCTTGTGGGGAGCAGGGCTACCAATCCCATCGCCCAATGGGTTAACAGAGAGGGCGTTGACAGGGGCTGGTGCGAACGAGGAGCTTAGTTGGGCCCCGGGGAAAGACAGGATTTTCAGATGCTCTACAGTAACTGAGCCATAGAGGCAACGAGGTGTGCGTTTTCTCTCCCCTGGGAGAGAAGACCCAGCCAACCAGGCGAGAAAAAGGATGTAGGTGATGTTGGGGCCCAAACCCTAGCTTCAGCACCTACTAGCCCATTGGAGGGTGAAATGTTTATCCTTTCAACAAGAAGTGCAGTGATACAGGAAAGGACAGAACAGCAGCACACCTCATATGTGAGGGGAAGCATTGAATTCAACATATTGGTGGATCAACAGTCATTAATCACTATTTTAACATCGATGTGCCTTTGGTGTCACCGGTGGAGTCTCCAACTAGTCTAGAGCATTTGTGGGGCTGTGCTCTTACTATAGACATTTTGCCAAGACGGCCCATGTCATTTATCGTTAACTGTGTTGTTTTCATGTTGTTAAAGTTCCAGGTTTGGCGTGACAGAATGTGGTTAGACAATGTGGGTCTTTGTGTTTACTCGCTGTTATGTAATGGCACATTGCGATTACTGTGGACAAGAAGGAGCACATATTGGCACAATGGCATTGTGGCTGTGGCTCTGTCCACTGCAGAGACGCTATCCACAATCTGGAGGAGTAACGAGTATAAATGAGTGTATTAGTATAACAACAATTAATATAACAATAAATAAAAGGTTTAATGTATTTATTGTTAATGTATCAATTATATAATGTTAATTGTTCTTTTCATCATCATTAGGCTACATATACATATACACAATAGTTGTAGCTTTCCACTGGTATACTATTAATTCCAGTTACAGCAGTTGGGATGAGTGGGGTGTACTTGGTTGAGGCTGTGCCTTTGTGTGAGCTAGACAATAAGGTGGTGGTGGGGCGGGGGTTGGCGGATGGCTGCTGATGTTTACATCTTTGTTTATTGCACTTTGTTACTGTCACTATTTAGAAACGTGGACGTTTCTTTTTGCAGCCCATGGGCTAAGTATGTAAGTTATTTTGTTGAGTTATAGGCTTTTATTGTGAAGTTTAAGAAAACGGAAGTTAAAAATATGTTCCGGTAAAAACTAGTGTGTGGAAACAAAGAAATAAAAGTCCCGTTTCGGTTCAGACAACGGATCCTTCGTGTTATTATTTTATAAGTCCATATTCAGTATAGGCGCAATTACAAAACCAGTCTAAAGGCATTTTCACATCACTTGTTGCTTCAAGCATTTTTTTGCGCTTTTAATATTTCGAAGTATTTTTGTACGGTCTATATAGGCCTAATTGCAGCCGTACAAGTTCACACAGTGTACATTTTCAAGCCATCAGCGGTGTATGTCCAAATTAAACTGGCAGCTGCACCATCAATCATTTATTTTGGCGCAGGCGTGCTGAGGCCACACAAACAGCTCCACTCCAAGTCGGGTTGCAGTGTTACAAACTCTCTATTCAAACCGGTTCAAACACATGAAACCCGCAACGATTACTGAAAAGTAAGTAAGTAAAGTAGCCTAATATTTTTCTTGGCTTTGTTGTTGGCAAATCAGACTCTGTCCCGCAACTGGCTGCGTTTTTGAAAAGTAAGTGCATGTGTTTTGATAATTAAAAGTCAAATTAACATGACTTAGGCTACTTGTGTAAAAGCTCGACTGATGATAACGGGGTTGAAGAGGTCACAGGCTGCCAAGCGCACTCAGATGATAATTGCTCTACTTTATCAAGCCATCAGCGCAAACACCGCCCCCACATAAAATGTAACGTTACTGTACTTACAGTAAATTGTTAGTCGTCAAAACTGTTATTAACAACAATAACACATTTTCAGACTATTTGCATAAATTAAAGAGTTGCACTGGCTATGGATTTTTTTGTAATCGATCATAAAGAAGACATTTGCTTATCTCATCCCTGTGTTTTAAAAAGAAAAAAAAAAGGGAAAGCGTGCCATCGGTCACTGTCTCAGTATAAAAGTCAGCGCTCTGATGATTCTCTTCCTTCTTTCCAGACACACAGCCAACACAAGGATCAAGGTAAGACAGCTGATATCTTTGGTTTGCATTTTACTGGAGACAACTTGTATTTATATTCATATTTACATATTTATCTACAATTGCAAATCATTAACCTGTATGATCGCAACATAAAACAAACAGCATATTTGTTAACCAAAATGTGCAAAAATTATATGAATGGCAAGTGTATAAGATGTAAAGTCAGCCAATTGATTTTACATTTCTGAGCTCTGCATCTTCAGAAGGGGACTGGTTTCCACACATGCACTTAAACAATTAGAGCATAATAGTAACAGCTCAAAAGTGAGTTGCAGATACAAAAGTATTTGCATTGTATTTGCACAGTTTCAATAGAGAGATTGAAACTTTTGGAAAACAATAGGCCTAGTTCAAAACTTTAAAACATGTTATAAACATAGACTTTCAAAATAGTATCACAAAGAAATGTTGTAAAAACGAGGTTTCAACAGATACCTAAATTATTTCACAGATTTGGAGTAGATTTCATCCAAAGGGTCGAAGTTGCAGTGCTCTCAAAGCAAAATCACCTTTGGTCTTGATTCTGGTTCTAGGAAGTTTTATGACAGAAGCTGTGATTGAAGGGTGAAGGGTCGCTGAGTATACATAAGAGTTCTGTAATGTATGTTGCAACCAAACATGCAGTGCAAAACCTGCAACACCTAAAAAATTGTTCTAAAATATGATGGAAGGATGCTGCAAAGGGATATCTGATCTAAAGTACATTACTTTTTCTGATTATAAATATTTTAAACCCGTTTGAGAAGAGAACAAGGTTTATAACAGATTGTCCTTAAATAGCCTGAAATCTCCCTTTAGAGTATAAGATAATTGTCTTTTTATAAGGCTTGAAAGGTGACCAGTGGCTGCCTGAATCCATACATTTTAGTGGAGACAGCAGAAAAATACAGACACATTCATACAACCTCTCAAACTCGGGGGTCCCGCCAAGAGGGGGCCGAAAGGGGTGGGGAGTTTATACAATTGCTGGTGCCCCATTACTTTGTTCTTTTTTCCTGTTGCAGCTCCATCATGGTGCACAGAGTAGCAGTGATCGGGGCGGGCCCATGTGGTCTGACCAGCATGAAGGCTTGTCTGGATGAAGGCTTGGTGCCAACCTGCTTTGAAAGCAGCGATGACATGGGCGGACTGTGGAAGTTCAAGGCAGGTCACCACTGTGGAAAAAACACTGACAACCATTTTGAGTTTATGCAGCAAGCCAATCAAGTGAAATTGGATGATTAAGTCGCTGTCAATCTTACAACCATTGTTCTTTTCACATTTGTTTCTCTGCAGGAAGTGTCGGAGCCCAACAGAGCCAGCATCTACCGTTCCCTCACCATCAACATCTGGAAGGAGATGATGTGCTACAGTGACTTCCCCATCCCTGCTGATTACCCCAACTATATGCACCACTCTAAAATCATGCAATACTTCAGGATGTATGCAGAACACTTCAAACTGCTGCAACATATTCACTTCCAGGTAACAAAATCCCCATGAGCAGAAATGAGGATGTGGTGCATTCAATATTTTTACCAATATTTTCTAGACAAATCTGTCATTCATCATTTACATATTTTAGACCTCAGTGAAGAGTGTCAGACAGAGACCAGACTTTTCACGTACTGGTCAGTGGGATGTGGTGACCGTGAGTAGAGATGGACAGGAGGAGAGGCATGTCTTTGATGCAGTTATCTGCTGCTCGGGTCACTTCAATTACCCTAACCTGCCACTCAAAGACTTCCCAGGTAAAGACATTTACAGACATCTTTCCCATGCTTGCATAAATATGAGGCTGAGTTTTACGTTTTATGAGGGAAACATAGCATATTCACTCCTTGCTCCTAGCCTCTAAGAGTAACACATTATATGAAGACATAACTCTGCTGCTTTGCAGGAATTGAGACATTTGAAGGAAAATACTTCCACAGCTGGGACTACAAGGGGCCTGAAGACATGTACAGGAAGAGAGTGGTGGTCATCGGCATCGGTAACTCAGGAGGCGACATCGCTGTGGAGGGCAGCAGAGTTGCAGAGCAGGTTGGGAAGTCTTTTCTGATTACTCTATTCCTCTTTTTGCACACATCACGTTTGTTTTAAGTGTCCCTGTAGTGAACAACGGCTTGTTTTCCTCACGTCCTAGTCCCTCTAACCAAAGATACAAAAGAGAGATGCAGTTTCAAAGTAGCCCACTACTCTATGTATAGGTTCAGCAGCAGCATCCAATTAAAAACAGATTTTCAGTGAAGCGGTGAGATGTATTGACTTAAAGTAAAAAAATATTCATGTTTTCATCCCTGTTTCTCTCTCTCTCATTCTGCAGGTGTATCTGAGCACTCGTAGTGGTGCCTGGGTCATCCGTCAGGTTTCTGACAACGGCCTGCCAGTGGACATGTTCAACACACGCTTTGTCCACATCCTGTTCAAACTGCTGCCGATGCGTTTTCTAAACTGGCTTGGCGAGAAAAAACTCAACTCCATGTATGATCATGCCATGTATGGCCTCAAACCCAAACACAGGTAGGGTTCATCTGTTTCTCTCAGTACCAACATCCTGTTTTTTTGGAATGCATTTATATTCTCCCTCTGTTAATGTCAATCACATTTCAGCATTACACTTTGCAGTACAAAATATCTTATAATGCGATAAAAGAATATGATTAGACTGCAATAGCATACTCCCTGTCTGTTCCTTCTCTCATTATAACCAACCTTTCTGTATGGAGTTTGCATGTCCCTGTTGTGCTTCTCATGGGTTTCCTCTGGGTGGTGTGATTTCCTCCCACAGTCCAGTGACATGTAGGTTATGTAAATAGGAGACTGTTTGTCTACATGTGTCAGCCCTGAAATAACCTGGTAGCATGTTCTGTGCTGTCCAATGTGTGCTGGGAAAAGCTTTAGTCCTCTTTGACCCTGCACCTCGAATAAGTGGGTAATGATATTGGATAGATGATGAAAAGATGCTAGCATAGCTTTTTCTTTATTGTCATTTTATCTTCTGATCAACTGGCAATCTGAGTTTCTGTGAACAGAAACTTCTTTTTTTAGTCCACCACTTTGAACCAGGCTGAAATATCCCAAGAACTATTTGATGGGCCATAACATTAGTACATTAGTGATCCTCATCCTCAGAGACTTTCCTTCTAGCCCAACCATGAGGTTGATTTGTACAGAAGCCCTAAGCGGCCATCCATTCAAAAAGATTTTTTACTCTGTTTTCCTGTGATAACGGGATAATTATCTCGAGATCTCAAGATAATGAATGTTTATAATTTTCTCGTGATCGGTGTGGTTTTTAGTGTCACTGGTTAGCTCAGTTGGTAGAGCACAGGACTCATAGTCTTTGGGCTGTGTGTGTGATCTTCACTAAAGACCAATTTTTTTCCTTTTTATCTTTTCATAATATTCTTCAACAAAGTTCTTATGAAGAGACTGTTTCAACATGCTCCCAATAAAGCACATGCTAGACTGTGTGCATCCCGGCGATTGGTCCACATTCATCAACCGATTCCGATTCCCAGGCAGAGGAAATTCATCCACTTCTCATTCATTCATCCATTTAACATTACACATTTCCTTACGGCTATTTCAGAAACTTTGAAATAGCCGTCTGGAATTGTGTGATTAGGTACCCCTGAATCTCTTCATAACAACTTTGCTGAAGAGGATAATAAAAAACACACAAAAGAAGAAAAAAAATCATCAAGAGCAGGAGCCGAACACACAATTCTTGATTACGAGTCCTATGCTCCACCAACTTAGCTAACCAGTGACACAAGTTTTTTGAAATTATCCTAAAGAAACTGACCTGCCGACCTCCGTATTCAGCTATGGTTTGTTATCTCAAGATCAGGAGAAAATTAACCCATTTACAGGAAAGCAACATTCATTATCTTGATATCACAAGATAATCATCCGGTAATCACGTGAAAATGGAGTAAAAACAATATTTGAATGGATGGCCGCTTAGGGCTTCAGTAGATTTGTGGTTTTGCGTGAACTTTCTCAACAACTATTCAATGGGTTACCATAACATTTGCTACAAACATGCTGCTAGTTTTCAGAATATCTGTCTTTTATAATAGTATCAGTGTGTCTCTATCGTTCCCCTGTCCTCTGTTGCCCCTAAAAACAGACTCTTCAGTCAGATCCCAGTGATCAATGATGACCTGCCTTTCAAGATTCTGTCTGGGTCAGTCATTGTCAAACCAAACATCAAGGAGATTCGTGGATCTACAGTGGTGTTTGATGATGGCAGCCTTGTGGAAAACGTCAGAGAACTTTGCCTAAATGAACTTATATGCATTAAATATATACGTTTTTGTTGACTTCAAGCAAAATAGCTCTTATGTCATCTTTGTTATAGGTGGATATGATCGTGTTTGCCACAGGATACAACTATGATTTTCCTTACTTGCCGAGCAATGCCGTGTACAAGTCTGGGCACCGTATTGGTCTGTACAAGCACGTTTTACCTCCCAACTTGGAGCATCCCACTCTGGCTATTGTGGGTTTTATCCATTCTGATGGAGCCATTATGCCTCAGGCTGAGATGCAGGCCCGCTGGGTCACACATGTCTTCAAAGGTGAGAAAACACAGTGGTCCCCTAGAGACACCTCTTAATCAAACACTCAACACACAATCAAGACGTTTACCTTGGCTTTCTGTCTTTTGCTCTTCAGGACATAAAAAGCTACCCTCAAACCAGGCCATGATAAAGGCTGTTGAGAAAGACACCAAGGAAATCAACAAAAAGTAAAGCTCTTCAGTATTTCTTTGCCTCATTACTATTGTATCTGACATTACTGATGTTATCTTTGAAAAAAAGTTATTTTTGGTGTAATCCAAGCTCTCTAAATTTAAAGGAATAGTTTGACATTATGGGAAATACGTTTAGTTGCTTTGTTGATGAGCATAACAAGAGAAGATTGATAGCACTTTCATTCTTATACTGTAAATATGAAGCTACCACCAACAGCCGCCTGGCTCTGTCCAAAGGTGAAATCTACTAAGTCACTCCATTCATTTTAAATGGAAATCATTCATTTCTGGTATTTCCTTCTTGCAGCTACGTTGTGTCAAAGTTGACACCCCTGCAGGTGGACTTTGTTGCCTACATGGACGACTTAGCTGGGGACATTGGAGTCCGGCCAAACCTCCTCTGGCTCTTTTTCACAGACTACCCACTGTTTAAGAGACTTCTTTGGGGACCTGTCACATCCTTTCAGTACCGCTTGATTGGATCAGGGAAATGGGAGGGAGCCCGCAGGGCAATATTCACCCAGTTTGACCGCATGTACCAGCCCCTAAAAACCAGACAGGTTTGAAATAAACACATTCTTCAACATTGTGTTATTTTGGCAATATTCCATGATTAAATGTACAGCACACATGTCAGAGCCCCCCAAAAGTTAGCAGGTATCAAGTATGACTGAACAGCTGTCTAGACATGTTGAACATAATCTTTTCTCTCGTTTCTTCCAGCTGGATGCACAACAGGCTTCGATCACTGGTCGCCTGATTAAGCTGAGCCTAACCATCATGGCCGGAGGAGCTGCGGTCTACTACGTCCATGTTCGCAGCCCAACCACCATCCCCAGCCTCCTGTCCAAGCTCCGTCCACAAGCAGTCTAAAAATGCTGCACAAGCTGAAGCAGGAATCCAATGTCTAATCTTCTAACCCTGTCCATATTTACAGTGTCCACATCACTTGGGAAATATCGCTGAAGCAGGAGATATCAACAGAGAAGACCAGATATCTGTCACTGTATTTTTCTTTGAGTCAAACAAGTCTTTGTCTGGTTTATTGATCTCTTTTGGTTTTGATTACGGGGTAGCTTATGCTATAACACAACAACAATCTTATCACAACTGTATGCCACCTCTAAAGAAGAAGTCATTGATGCCATATTTGCGACTGTTGTGTAAGCACTCCTTATACACCTTGTGATTACAAACCGTAACCCATTTTGCATTAACATACTGCACTGTTGACACTACCGCCAACTTGACCGGTTTTTAGTGAAGCATCAAGCATCACCTGCTAAATGTTGTGTACTGTTTTGTCATGTTACAGCACTCTAACGAGATTGATAGTAATGTACTGGCAACATTGTCACTATTAAGATAGTGTGATGACCTGTTTCTTACCTATGTTTTTTCTCTGTCTGAAGTGAGAAGAAGAAGTTACCGTTTACCAAATTACAAAAATGTGTCCTATTTTCAGTTAACAGTAGCCATGTTGTGTCACTGATCATCTGATTAAAAGATGTTCATAGGCTGTATTAAAAACACACAATGCTTACACAGTATGTGCATCATAGGAGTTACTGAGCATTATATTCAATTCCCCTTTCGATATTGGCTGTGCATTGATCCATGTGATTCTAAGGTAAGAGATGGGGGACAAAATTCACAATTGTTTTGTGCAAAAATGCAGTATTTTGTTCAGCTGGAGCTTCAACAGTCTGAGATTGAAATATTTGAAAGTATCCAAATCATATTAAGTATTTTGCAACTATGACCTTTTAAACTTTGTTACCAACTCTTTATATATAGTATAAAGTTACTATCACTGTGGCTCAGCAAAAACAGAGTCAAATGTGACACATTTCATACAAAAATAAACTATGCCCTTTAAGCAGTATATGAATGTCCCTGTGTATAGTGAAATTCATTAAGTCCCATATTAATGTGTGTATCTGTATGGTAGTGGTTAATAGTGGCTAATGCTAAGTGTCAGTTTCCTTTGCCCAAGCTTAACTGTGCAGAAAGTTGATCCTGTTGGCTGCTTCTTTCTACTAAGTGGAACAGCGAAACTGATGCTTTTTTCAGGAGTCGGACTTTCACAATAACCACCTGAGAGCCTTTTGAAATGTGATGCTGTTCAAGACACGTTCATTCCAATCTGATTTATGTTGGTGAGGAGTGGCGAGACGGCTAGCTGAGTAGACGCTCTACATCTTTCTGGAGCAAACTGTCTTCAGGCAGATAACCACATTTTTTCTAAATAAAGTTTGACAAATCTGTCAATCAACAGTTTTGTTATTGTCTCAAAGTCAGCACAGAAAAAAATCAAAACAACATAATCTTACACCATCTTGTGTCTTTTCTTGGTGTAGAAAAGTCATGAAATAATATAATTTAATAATAATTACAATAATGCATTAAAATCTAAAATTGTTAATGGCTGAAATGAAAATTTATTTAAAGGTACTATGTGTAAGATGTGACCAGAATTTTAATAAAAAACAAAAAAAATCAACTACCATTATGAACAGAATGCAAAGAAGTAACAGTCCTGACGTTATTTCATAGACGTCTAGATATTGTGTTGCAGAGGTATCTACTGAAGTTAGCATGCTAACCCGTTGTGTTGTACCACTTGTGCCTCAAGAGGCAATAGTCTGATAGTCAGAGGTATTGTGCTATTTGTTTAGAGACGTGCATGCACACAATTGAGTCATTTCATGTTTACTATGCAACAGTCAACCAAACACAAGAGTAGCTGTCCACTAGAAAGCGACAGGGCTCTTACAAAAAAGTAAATATTTATTCAATTTATTCTTATCATCATTACTTTTTTTTATTCTGGCAATGTTCAGGGTGGAATTATTTTGGTCATATGTTACATAGTGCAATCACATGCTCCTTGGATAGTCCCATTTTTCTGGGTTGGGAATTCGTTTTTTCCGACGTCAGTGTGTACAAGAGCTTTTAAGATGCAATGTGGAAACGACATGGGCACTACAAGAAGATGTGTTGTTGCCAGAAAGGCAGGAAGTCAGGTGACAGTGTACATGAAGGGAGCAAATTTGTTTTGCCTTTTCATCTTTGGTTAACGTTAGCTAGCTAAAGACTGGCGCTCAAATACTTCCGGCATCTGACTAACTAGCTAACAGCAGTCAATAGCAGTTATAACATGATATGTGATATGCTGCCCCATATTTTTTGGAGTATGAGTTTGACAGGTGTAGAGTGTCAATTCTTACACATTGTACCTTTAATCAACAGTGCATGTCATGATATGAGTCCTCTGCCCACGGTGTGGCCTGTGAAATCCATTCCTCAGAAAGGGCAGTAAGAAGATCTCTACAGGTACCAAGACTTTACTGCGGTTTGGATGCTTCATTTGCGTAGTCTGTGCAAATATAGGCTATGGGTTAAAAGGAAATACTTAAAGGTTACCACTGCTGAGTGAATTTCCACTGATGCCAGCAGTACAACAATGATAAAGCGTAAGCATTTCCATATGTGATTAATTGTGAGTAGGTTTTGTGAAGGAAATGTATACTAATTTAAATTGTTTATTACTCAGGGTGGTTTGATATGCATGTCAAGGGTTAACATATGAACTCACAACCTTACCCTTTCTCTTTTATCTCACTTTTTTACGGAGTCACTTGTTTTGTACATTACAACATTGGACTACAGAATATTTGGAGACATTTCAGCTCCACCCAACAGGGTTAAAGTCCCTCCCCCACAGTACTGTTTAACTGATTAGGTGATAAGCAACAGGTCAGTTCATGTGAGCTTAGAGGCTGTTTAATGTCCAATCGCAGCTGCACGGACTTATAATCAGCTTACTGGAGAAGGTGAGAACAGTCTTTCAGAAATCAACAAGTATTGTTTATTGTCATCAATAAAGAGAGAGAGACCTATTTTTGTGTCTGCGCTGAAAAGAGCCTGTGCTAGAGTTTAAAATGAGAATGTCCTTCACTCTGTTTCATCTACTCATTTGTCTATCTAGTCTATTAAAGAAGTCTAACACTTCTGAATGCTTTAATGTTATTCTGAACATCCATTATTGTTAAATGCTCGTATTAAGAAGATAAGGGGTGGATTATTAACAGTTCTCCTCTTGATATATACAGTTTCTTGTTTTGCTGGTTTACAAAATCAGTTAATTAATGTTTATAATATTTATATAATATTTACTCAGCAAATTATAATAAATTTAAATAATGCCTTTATAGCACATTTCAAAATATTTACAAAGTGCTTTAAAAACAGATTTAAAACACATTTAAAACAAGGACAGTTACTAAAGGAACTAAACTGTCACAAAACATTTTTTAGGGGGGTTTTCAAAAGTGATTTAAAAGACGAGACAAGAGTTTCCCACCCTGATCTCCTCAGGCAGAGCATTATTACAAAGTCTAGAAGCCCTAACTGCAAAGGCTCCATCACCTTTGAGTATAAGTCTGGACCTTGGAACTACCAGGAATGACACGTCCGAAGGTCTCAGGGAGTGGAAAGAGACAGTACAATAAAAGATCTGATAAAGAACTTGGGACAAGGCCTCTCAGGGCTTTGTAAGTAATGAATAATAACTTGAAATCAATGCTGAAAGCAAATTGTAGACTTTGCATTTGTAATGTCTAGAGTATTTGCTGAATTTGTTGTGTTTTATTAGGGAAATAATGATTTTCAAAAAACACCATATTTTTGTCATACTGCACATTACTGCAGTTCTTCTTTTCACCCTGTGTGTTGACTGCTTCGTTTTAGCTATGGAGTGATGCATCTTGTCTCTACATGATCTTTGTTGGGAGTTGTACATGCGCAGTTGCTAGTTAAGGACTACTAGCCAATCAGAGTCAGAGTAGGGCGGGTCGTGGGAAGCCGGTAAACATGGCTTGGGTTCAGCTGTATATCCCCTTACAACAGCTTGGCAACATAGACTGGAGCAAGAGTTTCAGAGAGTTGAGTTATTAATCTGTAACACATGTATCTTTCATCCATAAAGTTTTATCTGAGCGCTGTCTCTACAGCACAGTGACAACTTTATGTCCATTGACTGCAGGCAGGGTAGCTAGTGTTTGGAAGGGAGAGGGGTAGTGTGTGCTGCAGCTCAGCATTTCTCCACTGGTGTTTTTGAGGGCTTGTCAGACTAGGGACAGACTTGGGAAAAGGATGGACTACAAAAACAAAGGAGAGGGAAAAAGCCAAAAAGCATAACACCACCTCTTTAACTTAATTGGAGTTGGTGTGCGTTAACATAAAAGGGGCGTCTTCCGCCATGCAGGCAGAGCTTTTTCACAACGGCGCATTCTCAGTATTTTCTGCAGAAGAATGCACATTGATAGTGTCTGGATATGAGGTATTTAAATACAAATTAATGGCACAATCTAACACCGTGGCAGCCGACAAAGCCAGGGAGGCTTGTTGGCATCGCATGGATTAAATTTGTAATTATATCTTCACAGTGTTCTTATTGTAGGCTAATTCTATATAATGTATTTTATGGGTTCTTCTTTTATGTGTAATATCATTAAGATGTAAAGGTACAACAGCCCATAATGTCCATTGTAATAAAGAAATTGGAGCCAGGGGGGAGGGGGAAAGAATTTCCAAGATCACAGTGGTAGATTTACGAGAAATTAATAATCACAAATCTACAAGTAAAAAATTTGAATATATTCTCTTACATTGTATTTATACATTTATGAGAGAAACTCTCAGAAAAATAGTGGGGGAGTTTTGAAGGAACCACATTGCTTCACTTTGCAAAGCTGCATCGCACACACTCGTCTGCCGTGTATTATGCATGCAGTGGAAAATTATATTAGACTAGAAATAAATGTGAGTTTAGCTCACAATCAATATTGTGCACCTTAGAGACTTTGCCGTGGATTGGGAGTATTCAGAAGAAGAAAAACAGAGTGCAGAATCAGTGCATAGAGTATCCATAGTGCAAAGTTAAAAAGCAGCAGTTATTATTTAAAGTTTTTGCAGTTCTTTGTAGTAAGGTGGCTGGTGCTGGATATGGATTGGTGGGGGATTAGCAGTTTAGACGTTTGGGGCAGGGTGGAGGGAGGGGAAAGTGTTCAGCATCCTTACAGCAAGATGGATGGAACTGTTCCTCAGTCTGGTGGAGCAGGCACGGACGCTCTGGTACCTTCTCCTTTGCGGGCTAGGCTGTAGATGTTCTAGAGGAATGGGAGTGAGGCACAAGTGATCCTTTCTGCTGCACTCACAAAGCGCTGCAGGGATCTCAGTGCAGCTTCCAAACTATACAGTGATGGAGTTGGTCAGGATACTTACGATTGTGCCTCAATACAAGGGGGCCTTGATTGGTACGGGGCAGTTGCTCTCTACAGTTGCAGAGGAAGTAGATGAGCTGTTGGGCTTTCTTCGTGCTTCAAAGCATGAACATAAATTATTGAGGTTGTTTAGCAGAGAGATGTTACTGTCACGGGACTGTGGTCACGATCCCCTGCCACAGGCCCCTTGAGTCTCTGCTTTAGTTTCTGATTCTTTATGTCCCTCCCTGCACAGGTGCTCAGCGATGGTCCGACGTGTGGCAGTAGTTGGAGCAGGCAGTTCTGGTCTGGTCTGTATCAAGAGCTGTGTTGAGGAGGGTCTGGAGCCGGTTTGCTTTGAAAGCAGTGATGACATTGGCGGCCTGTGGAGATTTAAGGTGAGTGGGAGGGGCACTGTTTTAAAGAACATCCAGCAAATTAATGTTGTCACAGGTCAGAATGACAGAAAAGTGGATTATTTTATCAGCTCTGTGTCTTGTTTTCCTTTGTGTCCACAGGAGTCACCTGAGTCAGAGCGATCCAGCATCTATCGCTCCTTGGTGTGCAACACTTCCAAAGAGATTATGTGTTTCAGCGATTTTCCCATGCCTGCTGACTATCCAAACTACATGCACCACTCCCAGCTGCTGCAGTACTTCAGGCTCTATGCTGAGCACTTTGACCTGCTCAGATACATTAATTTCCAGGTTATTCCCATTTCATCGTGCTAGGAGTGTCACTGTCTTTTCTAAACGTTTCTACAACATACTATGTAAAGTCTAAGTTATTTGTGTGTGTGTGTGTGTGTGTGTGTGTGTGTGTGTGTGTGTGTGTGATATGACTGTGGAAATGCTTCAGACCACAGTAAGCAGTGTTACACAAAGGCCGGATTTCTCTCTGTCCGGTCAGTGGGACATTGTGACCATTAACAGGGATGGAGAGGAAGAGAGACACATCTTTGATGCAGTTCTGGTGTGTTCAGGCCATAACACTCATCCGGCCTTACCCCTGTCAGACTTTCCAGGTCGGTAAACAAATAGATATATTACGGAATTTGATGACGGAGTAAAGTGGGTTGATTTACTTTACATCGGCACATTCTCGCAAGGAACTCTTATTTTCCCTTGATTTGTTACATCATCTGTATCTCTCCAGGATATGAGATGTTTTCTGGCAAGTGTTTTCACAGCTGGGAATATAAAGATGCAGACACCTGTCGAGGAAAGAGGGTGGTGGTGGTTGGCATTGGCAATACTGGAGGAGACATTGCAGTGGAAATTAGTAGATCTGCAGAGAAGGTAAGACGAGAGAAGAAGCTTCATTGTTGTTTGGCAGAGAACCAGGGGACCTGAGACAGATGACAGAATTGTGTGCTTTCAACCAATCCATTCATTTATGCATCATCGATTAGTTATTAGGGTCGACGTGGGGTGCCGTCCAAATTCGATGATTTGCCATGAAACAGGAAGTTGTAACTTCAGTGTACATGCTCACATCTTCACCAAACTTTCCATGTTTGATTAGAGTCCCGCCCTGAACATATCTACATGCAAATGTTCACTAATTGGCACAGCACCACCTCCTGGCAACAGAAAGTGACTACTTTTATGCTGTGATGAACCACTTCGCTATATCTGCTTCAAAACTAACTCAGAAAAATGTCTGTGAAGATTCTCAGTCATCCAGGTCATAGTTATCCAACAAAGGTAAAGTCAACGGCAACTGGACTTGGTTGAAGATACTGGAAGATGTTTCGTCCCTCATCCAAGGGACTTCTTCAGTTCGGAACTGATATCTCAGAAAACCCTTAACGTATTGGTGATGTCATGTTGCAAAGCGTGAGTTTTCCTTCAGCAGCGTATCCGTGGCGTGGCGGCAATGTTCCATGCTTTGCCATGAAACAGGAAGTAATTGTAACTTTACTGTGCATGCTCAAATCTGTACCAAACTTTTCATGCTTGATAACTGTCCCGCACCGAGCACATCTACATGCCAATATACAGTTATAGTTGTAGCGCGATCTACTGGCAACAGGAAGTAAGCCGTGTGTGACACTAATCATGCGTTTTTAAATAACATTTTTCACGATGTGTTCCACACTTGACGTACTGGGACATAACATAGACCAGTGGTTCTCAAAGAGGGGGTTCCAGGGGTTCCCCATAAGGAACATAGTGACCGAACGTATGAATTTTTTGTTCATGGATTTCATACACTTTCTGGAATAAAACGTCCAAAAGCCAAAATCCTATGAGATGGGCGGTCCTGGGACAAAATCTTATCAAATGGGGCTCCGTGGTCTAATTTCAGAACGACTGACACACAGTAGTGCCACATGGGCGACAAAGGAAGTGATGTTTAAGTCCTCTGAGCAGCGTCCGAAACACGTGACTTTTGAAGGACTCCCTGACTCGCTACACGTGCGAGGACCCGCCCAATGCTTCTTGCAGCTTGCATTGCACTTAAACAAATGTAAAATTAGTAATCTTTCTGATTTGACTTGATTCTGTACATCAGCAAGGTTTCTTTAGAAAAAAGTTGCTGACATGACATATTACACGATATTATTTGTGTTTGTTCACAAGCATATCACACCAACAGAATATGTCCTAATAATATGATATATGATACATAGTATTCACGGTCAGCCTACTTACTCTCTCTGATAGACATTTCTCAGTACGCGACAGGGAGGCTGGGTGATTGGCAGGATGTCCAGTAACGGTCTTCCCCTGGACCTGACAGTTATCACCAGGTTCAACAACATCCTCACACTGCTTCTTCCCAAGACTCTGGTCAACTGGGCAGTAGAGAGAGCAGTGAACCAAAAATGTGACCACACACTGTATGGCCTGAAGCCCAGATACAGGTGACACATTTTGATCTGGATGATGTCTGTTCTTCTTAAAGCTCCTATTAAATTTTCTCTTTTATACAGTAATCATATGTAAATGATCAGGTGGGTAGCACAGTGAACACTGTCAACTTAAGCTTCACTACAGTAAATGCTCTCTGTATGAAATGTACATTTTGTCTCCCATCTTTATATTGAATTTTCTGCATGGGTTTCCTCCAACCCAGTCTCTTCAATTTGCATTTAACCAAGACTAATAGCCTACAGCCATGTTTGCAGCTCTGTGAGGTTAGCTAGGCACAGCAATGTTCTGGGTTTGAGCTAAATGCTAATGTCAGCATTGCAACATGCTGATGTTTAGCAGGTATAATGTTCACCATATTAGTTTAGCGAAAAGCAAACATTTGCTATTTAGCCCTAAACCCAGTACAGGTGGTGTTTGATGAGAAGTTAGAGGATTAACAAAATCATTATAAGAATCAAAATATGTACAATATTTCATGACAATCCATCAGTAGTTACAGAGATATTTCAGTCTGGTACAACGTGTTGGAGTGACTGATCGACAGACCAATATCGCTATCTTTGCCATACTGAGCCACACCACTTGCATCGCTAAAAACATTGCTGATGTCAACAAGCTGCGTCCTGCACTAAAAAACAACACAGACTTGGCTTTCCTGTGTTACTTCATTGTTAAACTTTTACATATAAATGAACAACAGTTACATTCAAGATCTTGTAAAATGAGTTCACACAAAGCTTATTAAGCCTTTCACTCTGTATTTCACAGTATACCTAAGTTTTTAAATCCAGTGTCTGTGGCGGCATTACCGTGCTCGCAGATCGGTAGTGATGTGTTCAACATCAAGCAGCAATGATTAGTTTGCCAAAGCTGAAGGGGGAAAACAACCATAACAACAGCGTAGGCTACAGCAAAGTGGATTTCAGCAGAAAAATCTGAGAAGTGTCCAAGAAAAGTTTCTGATGATAAAAAAGAAACTTTGCTTTCAGAGGACTGATTACAGTCAAATAAAAGAAAGCAATCGATGGCAAAGCTTTTCCTTGTTGGACAACACTGAGAGAAGAGAAGGGATTGAGGGCAGACGCAGATTTTGCATTGCTGCTCTTGGACAGATTTGTAAAATATCAGGCAGTAGGCAATGTAGCTATTACATTTACTCTGTCTAAATCATGGTTCTGTATATTTGTAACCACTTCTGGACACAATCGTGGGGCGAGCTCAGCTGTCGGCATACATCATGAGTATACATCGGCAGTGAGAGATAAACATTCCGTACTGCAGATTTAAAAGAACTGTCAATAAACTTAGGGATAGAGTTGGCTCTCACCCTGTGTTAGTCCTTTTTAGTGGGAATAGTAGGTGAGCAAAGACAACATTTAATCAGTATAAATCATGTTGAGAACGGCTGTAGATTCTGCTGGGCAATAGGTTCTGTGCAGTTATAATCAAATTACGTTAGTACAAGACAATTTGCTAAACAATGGTTTAATTTTGAATGTGACAATCTTTCTACCAAGTTAAGTTTGGTTAACTCCTATAATTTCATTTCTTTCCCAGACCTTTGGAAAGAAGACCTACGATCAATGATGACCTTCCTGGTCGAATCCTTCAGGGAGCGGTAGTAATAAAACCCAATCTGAAAGGCTTTGAGGCCTCTGGAGTTGTATTCGAAGATGGCACTGTGGAGGAAAACATTGACGCTGTGGTCTTCTGTACAGGTTATAATGTAAACCTTCCATTCCTGCCTCCTGTGCTATTTGAGGGGCCTGACAGGGAGTTGACATTGTACAAGTAAGTATGTGATGGCAAGAGTTTTGTGTAGGGCTGATAATGTTTATATAATGACGATAGATTGAAACTCCACATCACCAAATTACGCCCTGTTTACACCTGGCATTAACATCTTGGGTGATACAATCACAAGTGGACAACCAGGGCTGAACTGGGGAAAAAAAAATCGTCCCTGGCATTTTTGGCCCAGGCAGCCCACCAAATTCGGTCGGACACTTCCCACCAATACACCATCCTTCCATTTAAGGGTTCAGATTAGAGGCCATTATTAGCCCATGAGACGTAACATTGCACAAGATTGAGGCCATGACAACAAGACAAGAATATATATTAATAGGCCTACTATTTAGAAAAAAAATTTATTGCTGAAATATAGGGGGGTCTGGGTGTCCTCCCCCAGAAGATTTTGAGCATTAAACACTTGATTTCCTGCATTCTGGGAATATTTTCTGCACCAGGGAAGCACAAAATTCAGGTGGCAGGTGACAATTCAGAATATAAAAATAGAATAGAATATAATTCAGTAATCAAAAGCTTATTATTGTTTTTAGCTTAAGTTACTTTTTTTGAACAACACAGTTTTCTTCTATATTTACATTGCATTGCAGGCTTACTGTGCCAATAAACATTTCTTAGTGCAAGCTATTTTTCAGAACATTTTTAACAAATGCTTTCAAAAAGTAAGAAACAGAGAACAGAGGAGGTGGGAGATAATAAGAGATGTGATTGGACCAGTGTCAGTATAGAAAATTACCCAATGGGCCGCTGCCTTATGGGCCAATCGTTGGCCCATTTTTAAACAAAAAACAGTTATGGCTCAGGAGGTAGAGCAGGTTGCCCGTTAATTGAAAGTTTGACAGTTCAATCCCCGGCTCCTCCAGGCTGCATGTCAAAGTGTCTTTTGGAAAGATACTGAACCCCGAATTGCCCCTGGTGGCTGTTCCACTAGTGTGTGTGAACGTTAGTTTCTGTTTGAGCACTAAAGCTTGATTTATACTCCTGCGTGCCTACGCCGTAGGCTATGCACATAGCCATGCATTTATACTTGTGCGTTGGTGTCCCCGTCATTCTGCGATTACACCCCCAAACGCTTGTACTCAGTAGCGCTACAGCGTCCACTGTGTTGACCAGCCGAGCAGGCTAACTTCCAGTTTAGCCCTCCGCTAACGTGAAGGGGGGTAAAACTGTATCCGTGCTGCTGGTATAGTCGTTTCAAATGTTATCAACCGAATAGATCACATTCTGATAGTGAAACGAGTCATTTCACTCGGGTTGTGGTGGTCAAATATATTGATCCACCGTGTTACAGCTGCCGTTTTGGCCACTAGTAAAAGTTACTTAAAAGCACGGGCACTTATTGTCGGCTCGGAGGCATTGCGAAGCCTCGACTTTTAGTTACATTTTTGAGGAGGTGCACATAAGGTTAGGGTAGGGGGCTACGCAGAGGCTATGCCATCGATTTGTTGCAGAAGTATAAATTGCACTTTAGGCTCAGTGTGTGAATGGTCAAAGTGATGTAGTGTAAAAGCGCGGTCAACTAGAAAGACTAGAAAGGCGCTATACAAATACGGACCATTTACATTTTAAATACATCATTGACATTACACCGGCCCCAAAGGTGCGTTGGCCCACCAGGCATTTACCCAGTATGCCAGATTACCTGTCCAGCCCTGTGGACAACTCTACACAGTACAAGTGTAAATGCACCCAATAAAGCATAGAGGACGCATCGAGATCAGATCGCTCAGACCAGTCGGAAGTGATCTGGGTTGCATATCGTCACATTCTTTTAGCACTGTGTATGTGAATGTGTCCTTGGCTACATTGAAGGACCACCTACTCAAGAACCTCTGCATAATTGGATGTAAAGTGCAAAACAACAAGAAGATACCACAACAACAGGCAAAATTGTTTCTCGTGGATGAAATACACACGAAACATGCTGTCTGATGTCCTCCTGACTCAACTTCCAGTGAATTTCCCGTTGGACAGAAGACCAGCTTTACTTTTTGCTAAAGTAACCACTAGCTAGAGTAGTTTTAACTTAACAAGTGAAGCCATATGTCCATCAGGAAACTCTGCAAATCAGTTGAGGCAGAAATACCATACCAGAAAATATTTTCTCCTTAAAATATGACCCAGTTTCACCAAAATCAGTGAATAAAGTTGTAACGTTGTGTTTTTGTACAGTAATAAGTGAGGCCCGACCCCCAGAAACACTCCGCTCAGGCGGTGTTTATAATTTTTCAACCCTAATTCTTGTTAGTTTAGTGGTGATAAACAGTAAATTCAGGTTGAAAACTCTAACGCATTTGGTGTTTGCAAATGGAAATGTATGTGTTTATTAGCGTATAAAGTGGGGAAGTGAGATACGACAAACTGATGTACTTCGAGCTGTCAATCTGTGAGGATGCATGTTAAAGCCAGATGTAAACAGCTTCTTAGAAACTCAGGACTTAATTACTGAGGTTGTAAACATCATATAGCACAATTCTCATGTCAGTACGGTAAGCTAAATAAGTTGCTGGAGCCCAGATTATTTCTTGGCCTGGAGCTATCACTTGTTGGATTCTTGTTGTCACCATTAGATAGGCAACCAGCAGAGCCTTCAGGAAGATAGGATATAGTCAAGCACATTACCTCCTGTAAAACCACAACTTGTTGTTTTTGCATGTTAATAAGTGAGCTTTAGAGGTACTGCTAGCATGGCTGCCAAGGGTCACGCACTGACCATGAGACTCACACACTTTTAGGCCACACCCATATTTTCAGTTTTTCCGCATCTTAAAGTGTAAAAGTATGGCTACAATAAGAACCCCACGTTAACCATTAAACGATCACAACAATAAAACCTTAATAAATCAAATCATCAAATACATGTACACTGACAAAAGCAAAACGGTCCAGTGCTTAGCCAAGTACAATGTTAAGCTATGCTATACCTACTTAAGTCGCGTTGTATTACCAGTCTGTAGAGGAAGTCAGTTGGTTTGGTGTGCTACTTGTTCGTGGTGATTCCATTGTACAGGTCGCTTTGTTCTTCGTTGTCCTCACAAAGTTAGACCCTGGCTCAGTTTCATACAAGGTTCAGTTTATGTTACACAAATTAAATCATCTGTGGAGTCCCAGTGGTCCCAACACCTCGATACCCTGGACAGGCCTCCAGATTTAGGCAATGATGTCAGCAACAATGCTGATCAACCATACTTATTCATCATTGACCATGAATATTGACTAGGCTTTTAATCTATACATGCCTTAAAATTGTGATTGTGTCAATTTGGCTGCTGAACTTGGACTTTGGACTTGGAACTTTTTCACTTTGCAAATCTAAAAAAAAAAGAAAGAGAACTCAATAAAGGAGAGGGAAAAGCCAAAAAGCATAATACCACCTCTATAAATCTTCTCATCTGACTCTCCGCCAGAAAGGTATTTCCCTTAATGTCAAATTATTCCTTTAATAGTTTTATTGAAATTCCTTTTTACAAAATATTTGACAAATAAATGTGTAATTTCCGTTTTTATTAATAGCTTGAATACAAAATTATATTAAAAATAATATTTTATGAAGTTTTTCAATCACAATGGCTTATAATGAGAAGTCTAGCACAGAAGGGCTGATAACCATTAAAAAATAGTGCATGTATATATTTTGCTTCTCTAGATCTTAATTATGTTATAATATGTATGTATATATTTCATTTCATGGATCACCTTATAGTTTTTTCCAAAATTTCAGGAGATTGTTTCCTCCGTCTCTATCACAACCCACACTGGCCGTCTTGGGTCTTTTACAGCAAAAAGGACCATTCATGCCCATTGTGGAAATGCAGACGCGGTGGGCTGTAAAGGTCTTTGCAGGTAAACAATTTCAAGTTTTAAATGGACACACAGACACACGATTCAGAAGCAAAATGTTAGTTGGTGTGTTTTATCTTTAAGGTTTGAGCCATCTACCATCTAAGGAGAAAATGCTGGAGGTCATTGAGTCTGAGAGGAAGAGAAACATGAAAAGGTAGACTTCAGACTGATGTCCTTTAGATACAGGCAGATCATTCATGCTCTTCCTGTAGAAAGCAAACTTTCAGTTAAAATGTCTTGCTAATAATGACACTAAAGAATCCACTCCTTATTTTTGTTTTCTCAGCTACTGCTGCCCACGACAGGCGGCTCGCCTGGTAGATTACATCCCTTACCTGGATTTCATGGCTGATGAGGTCAGTTCTGTTCAGTTAAATATAAAATTGTGTTATCATTTGCAAATTTTGTGTAAGACACAAGCACCATGATAGACTTCCAATCACAGGTAGGCGTTCGACCAAACTTCCTAAGACTACTCCTGAGAGATCCTGTGCTCTGGGTGAAGGTCTTCTTTGGTCCCTGTACGCCATATCAGTATCGTCTCACTGGGCCAGGACAGTGGGCCGGAGCCCGTCATGCTATCCTCACTCAGTGGGAGCGGGTGGCTCAGCCTTTCAGAACCAGAGTGGTCCCAGAACAGGGAAGCAGGTCATGGGTCCTTTTTTCTCCCCAGCTGCTCACATATGGAGGAATTGTGATTGTGGCTGTGCTGCTGTCTAAAAATGCTGCAAAAATTATTCCAGTCTTGCAGGGTGCAGGTCAGATTCTGGACAGGTGCAAGATTTTCATGAGGGACTACTGACAGTTTCAGAGTCACCTGCTCACTACAATGCAGCATGTAGAAAATCCAGAATTGAGGATAACTGATGAAGAAAGAACATGTGTCCAAGAATTTAAAATTCCAAGGGGAAAGAAAACATGGTTTTATACTCTGAACAGAGAGGTTTAGACATAATGAGAGCTTTCATAAATTATCTGAGTTAAAGGAAATAAAACTTTTTGGAAAACAGTTGTTTTATACACAAAGTGAAGCGTGTAACTATACCCACTGGGGGTGGAAGGGGCTGTAGACTGAAGAACCAAAGCCTGCATTGACACCAGAGCAACCAAAGCCTGTTGTGATACTCCAAGGGTCAAAGTCTGCTGTGACTCCTGAACAACAACCCACCATGACAACCGAACTATAGCAAGGTGCTGCTGTGAAAACCAGTGACCAGATGGAGAGCTACCTTGAGAAGACCTAACAAGGTGTGATTCAGATCCCTGAGCTTGAGCTTCATTGGCTTGTGGGCGAGAAGGAGAAGATATCTACACTGGTAAAAGAAATGGTGGCCTTGCTCAATGAGAGAGCAGTTGAAACAACTGCTCAACAATCAAAGGGCAGCGGCAAACCATGAGTTGGGGGTCCTCCTGGTTGAGCTTTCTAAAAAACCAAAGCTTGCTGTGACACCTGGGGAACCAAATCCTGCTAGGACACTCGGAGAACGAAAGCCTGAAACAACTGCTCAAAAATCAGAGGGCAGAGGAAAACCATGAATTGGTGTCCTCCTGGTTGAGCTTTCTAAAAACAAGAAGACAGAAAGGGATGCTATCCTTAGAAGTGAAAAGCTAGAGGAAGTTCTCGAAAATGAAAATGATTGAGAAGACACTTGAGGAGAAGGAGGGAGAGAGAAAAAAATCAGATGGGTGAGGTCCAGAAAAAGCCGAAGAAAAGATCTATGAGGAAAAGATTCCTCCTGGTCGGACCCCTACTCCATCTGACCTCTGACCTCCTCTGCCACACCCTTTAAACCTGCACCGAAGAATGTATATCTTTCTCTAAACCAATCTACATTTATCACAGTCTGAATCATACAGAATCCTTCAGGTAAAGTTTGAATAAATGAATGAATGTGAATGAAACATTTGATGGTCAGTGCAAATACTGCCCACTAAACTTGGGCAAACACGATCAGTTTTCTGTGGATTCTGGGAATTGAACCTGGCTTTTACACTTGAAGTGTTCATGTCACCCTGCACGTAGGTCTACACACACCGTTTGGCTGAAGAGTCTTCATGAAAGCACTCCCCTGACTGCTGTGAAACTAGGGACCGTGTTTTTGACCTATAGGTCTAAACTTTAACACTATATGATAAGTAAATTAAGTAGTAACAATCAATGTCATATTTTATATTGATATTTCTCTTCTCTCACCTGGTTGTTTTGCAATGGTGAGCCACCATAAATTAAACTCATGTCGCCACACTGTTACTAGCCACCCTAACACCTGTTGAAAAAGCTAGCGGTTAGCATACATGCTTATCTGTTCATTCTGTCATGTTTTTTAATGCAAAATATTATTTGAGGTGCAAGTGTTAAAATAAATGTTTTACACCACACATGGCCATCTTTATTTTGGATGCATTTACAATGTCTCGACTAGACTACTGTAATTCTTTGTATGTTGGACGAGATCAGTCATCTCTCCATCAGTTACAGTATGTAGCAGCTTGACTTCTAACCAGAACTGAAAATGCATGAGCACATTACCCCTGTTTTAGCCTCGCTCCACTGGCTTCCCATCCGCTTTAGGATTGATTTTAAGATTTTATTGCTTGTCTTTTTTTTATCAGAACATTTACATGTACACACTCCGGTCAAAGCACATCAGTTCATCCAATCAGATGCTCCCTGATGTCCCCAGATCCAGGTTAAAAACTAAAGGTGTCCGGGCCTTTTCAGTAGCTGCTCCTAATCTTTGGAATTCTTTACCTGTTGAAAAAAAAGAATTGCCCAGACTGCTGGCACTTTCAAATCATTGCTAAAGACCCATCTCTATTCATTGGCCTTCAAACAGAGTTGAGTAGGGACATTTTTGACCTTTTCTACAGTTGTCAAGTATATTTGTTGTGTATTCTGAACCTGGAAAGCACTTTGGTCAAATAGTGTTGTTTTTAAGTGTGCTATATAAATAAACTTGAACTTTGCAAATGCTATATTTACACCTTTGATTTTATGGGGCTAACACTTAGCTGCCACTAGTGGTGCAGTTGTTAGATTGCAACCAGGTATGCACTCGTATGGGTGCTTTATCTCATGAGTGAGCAGAATCCGATCATGAGCTTCAAAGTACTGGAAACTCATGTAAACTCCCACTGCAATGTTACAGTAATATTTTGACTGCTGATATTAGTTTAAACTGTTACTTGACTGCTGGTTGTGATTGTGCTCACCTTTCCTTTTAAAGAAATTATTTGTCACTCTGCTTAATTAGACCCTAGACCTTTAGAGAGGAATCTTAGTACGGGGCGGACTAAACCATTTTGCATTAATTGGAAGGGGTGAGAGGGGCCTCAGATCCTCCACTAAAACATTGCAAACAAAAACAAACCTTTCGTTCCAGGATTTTCAAGGGCCCTCCCCCCATTGGGTCCCTGGGTAATCAGTCCCACTTTCTCCTTCACTTTCACACCCTTGACTGTAGAAAGCAAATGCCGAATCCTGGACATTTTTTATTATTAGCCTCTTTTCCAACGATGGTATCCGCTCAATTCGTCTCGACTCGCCTCTTCTTGAGTCAGTTTTGGCCCGCTGTTTTCCATTTCAAATAGTACCCCTCAATGTAGCTGTCCGTCACAGAGCTCCCACAAAGCAATGTTCAGTGCGACACACACTCACGACCCACACACGCACTAGCTGTCTTGATTTAAGTTAAAAAGTTTCAGCATTACTCAGAATGTAAAGACAGATAAGCAGTACGAAAGTCTTACAGCTGTGTTTTTCTCTGCCGTTGTTGCTGAAGTGTCTGCAGAGCTGACTGTCCGGCCGGCTCGTTAGCTTTCTCCGGTGGCGGTTCGTTTGCTTCCCCAGGAAACACTCACCAAACTCCTCAACTCTGAATTGTTCAAGCACATTTTTGATCCACCAACAATTTTCGTAAAACTGCAAATATTCAAAATCCACACAGTTGATTTCTCACTTCAAAACTTCTCAGAAGTGGATTTAGTGATGAAATAACATATGAAAATTGTAAAATATATATATAACTTCAAATGTCAGACTTCAGACACCATCTCTCTGTATTTATCCAGTTAACTTTTGCAATGTTTGTGAATACAAGCAGCAAGAAGAGGACCTCTGGTACCTGAATAATGGTGCTTTTCCATTACCAGCTCAACTCGCCTCAGTTTGGCCGTCCTCCATTTTCTATTGCAGATAGTAGTCCTCAATGTAGCTGGTCATCATAGCGATGCCACACACAACTGCTGCAACGTAATGTTCAAATATCTGTCTCTAACTGAAACACAGACAGAGATGCGCTGCCCAGCTAGGTTAGCAAGACAGACAGACAAAGATATTCACTGCAGATTCATTTACCCAGCATTGCTGTTACATTAGCTGACTTTCAGAGGAGAGAACACAAGTTTACATGACTGCCGTTCCCACAATTCACTCTCGAGTTTTTCTCTCTTCTTGTGCTCAGCAGAATAGTTTTGTCTTCCGTTGTAAACACAGACTCACTTTTACCTTTGACACGAGTGAGATGGGGCCCTGTTTAATATGCGGGGCCCTACGCAACGTGAACAGTGAGCAAATAGGATGGTCCGGCTCTGCACAGAGCATTTAGGGGCAGAGCCAGATTTCTACAATATAAGAAGAATTGTCTGTTTGGGTTTAAGGTTTTTTATTTTGGCATTTTCCTTTAATGGTATGTGTAACATTTTTTTAAATGGGTAGGATGAAATTGCATAACAAGTTCTTTAATTTTCTGAAATTTTGTAATTATGAGTTAGATTAGCTTTTTCAGGATTATTTTAAATATAGAGTTGCCCCTGTGGCGGCACGGTGGTGCGGTGGTTAGCACTGTCGCCTCACAGCAAGAAGGTCGTGGGTTTGCATGGTTGCTGTGTGGAGTTTGCATGTTCTCCCCGTGTCTGTGTGGGTTCTCTCCGTGTGCTCCGGCTTCCTCCCACCATCCAAAGACATGCAGGCTAGGTTGATTGGTTACCCTAAATTGTCCTTAGGTGTGAGCGGTTGTTCGTCTATGTGTGCGATGAAATTGATTGTCCATTTCACATGCTGTGTTGCTTCCTAAGTGGACAATCAATTTCACATGCTGTTGTGAAAAAGGAATAGGCAATTAGCAAGACACCCCCAATAAAGGAGTGGTTCTGCAGGTGGTGACCACAGACCACTTCTCAGTTCCTATGCTTCCTGATGTTTTGGTCACTTTTGAATGCTGGCGGTGCTTTCACTCTAGTGGTAGCATGAGACGGAGTCTACAACCCACACAAGTGGCTCAGATAGTGCAGCTCATCCAGGATGGCACATCAATGCGAGCTGTGGCAAGAAGGTTTGCTGTTTCTGTCAGCGTAGTGTCCAGAGCATGGAGGCGCTACCAGGAGACAGGCCAGTACATCAGGAGACATGGAGGAGGCCGTAGGAGGGCAACAACCCAGCAGCAGGACCGCTACCTCCGCCTTTGTGCAAGGAGGAGCAGGAGGAGCACTGCCAGAGCCCTGCAAAATGACCTCCAGCAGGCCACAAATGTGCATGTGTCTGCTCAAACGGTCAGAAACAGACTCCATGAGGGTGGTATGAGGGCCCGACGTCCACAGGTGGGGGTTGTGCTTACAGCCCAACACTGTGCAGGACGTTTGGCATTTGCCAGAGAACACCAAGATTGGCAAATTCGCCACTGGCGCCCTGTGCTCTTCACAGATGACAGCAACATGTGACAGACCTGACAGAGTCTGGAGACACCGTGGAGAACGTTCTGCTGCCTGCAACATCCTCCAGCATGACCGGTTTGGCGGTGGGTCAGTAATGGTGTGGGGTGGCATTTCTTTGGGGGGCCGCACAGCCCTCCATTTGCTCGCCAGAGGTAGCCTGACTGCCACTAGGTACCGAGATGAGATCCTCAGACCCCTTGTGAGACCATATGCTGGTGCAGTTGGCCCTGGGTTCCTCCTAATGCAACACAATGCTAGACCTCATGTGGCTGGAGTGTGTCAGCAGTTCCTGCAAGAGGAAGGCATTGATGCAATGGACTGGCCCGCCCGTTCCCCAGACCTGAATCCAATTGAGCACATCTGGGACATCATGTCTCGCTCCATCCACCAACGCCACGTTGCACCACAGACTGTCCAGGAGTTGGCGGATGCTTTAGTCCGGGTCTGGGAGGAGATCCGTCAGGAGACCATCCGCCACCTCATCAGGAGCATGCCCAGGCATTGTAGGAGGTCATACAGGAACGTGGATGCCACACACACTACTGAGCCTCATTTTGACTAGTTTTAAGGACATTACATCAAAGTTGGATCGGCCTGTAGTGTGGTTTCCCACTTTGATTTTGAGTGTGACTCCACCTGAATCCAGACCTTCATGGGTTGATAAATTTGATTTCCATTGATAATTGTTGTGTGATTTTGTTGTCAGCACATTCAACTATTTAAAGAAAGGAGTATTTAATCAGATTATTCAGATCTAGGATGTGTTATTTTAGTGTTCCCTTTATTTTTGTGAGCAGTGTATATTTACTATGGAACTGATTTGAGGAAAATTATCTTTGGTGCACCAAATAGAGGTGATTGGTTTTATGTTGTATTTCTGGTTTTCCCTGATTGTGTCTACCTGTGCCTAATTTTGTCCCCTCCCTCTTGGGTATTTAGGTTTGCATGTCCCCTTTATCAGTTAGTTGGTTTATGTCAAGTGTCTTGATCGGTTCCTGGATATTCCCATCTCATTTTAGACTATAATTTTGTCATTCGCAACCTTTAGATTTTTGTTTTGGCTGCCTTCTTTTTCCCTGATAAGTTACACGCTCTAGGTTTAAATTAACACTGATACCTGCTCTGCCTAATTGTGCTGCAGTTTGGGTCAAAATCCCTCATTTCCTGTGTCCAGGATTGGAGGACGTTTTCTGTCACACCCCATGACATTTCAAATAATCATACATGCGCTTGTTGTGTAAAATATCCTTGTCCTGAGACAAAATATCAATATAGTTTTAGAAAAAGTGGTTCCAAAAAGTTATTTAAAATACTAAATCACTCTGGAGCAACCCGTAAAATGGCATGTTTCTCTTGTCCTATTTTGGACAACTATACTTGATGACCAAGTTGCGTGTCAAATTAAACAGTTAAGTTTTAAATCTCCTTTTTTGTATGATTGTGTTGTTGCATGTGTCTTGTAATTGTTAAAACACATTTCAAATAATAGTAATTATGCATTGAACCCACTGTGACAGTAGGGGGTGGTGACGGCGAAGTGGATAAGACAGATGCCTTTGGTGTAAGAGACCCAGGTTCAACTCCCTACTGCGGCCATCCACCATTGGGTATAATGTGTGACACGAACATCCAGGTTTTGGGGCAGAAACCTGTGATAATTACTGATTTGACAGTATGTTGACTGAATGTATGACTATCAAGTACCACTGCATGCACCATGTATTGCTAGTATTTATTACATATTAATTACTGGGTAACGTCCCATAAATAATTTGCAATAGTGAAATCAATAATGGGGGTATTTATATCGTTAAAGTTAATGGCTGGCAATGACGTGAAAATGCAGGTGAAATGGTTAAGTGACTACAATTCTATGATTATAGGTCTCTTTTAGGCAACTTAATCTCGGGAGAAGAAAATTGAGGGTTGCCAAAGCAAAATAGGCAGGAAGGGCAGAAACTACACTTTCGTTAAGGAAAGTCGAACAGCGAGCAAAAAATAAGGAAAGCGGCTTCAACTATTCAAAAAAGACCATTCTCCTCCAAGATCCAAAGTGAATAAGTTGCTCCAGCAGATCTGAGGCACATCCCTAATGAGAACCCTGTTGGCCCACACAACAATAGCCAAGGAAGTACGTACCAAGTATGCCCATTCAAAGAGTGAGAGTGACAAGTAAGTGCAGAAATAGTCACCAGCAAAGTCCTGAAGAAGTGCAGGTTGCAGAGATTGGCTGGGGAGACTGGCAAACGACAATGTCTGGAAGT